ACATCAATCTGAACGACGTATTTAAGCTAAATAGCTGCTGTACAGCAAGAAACAGCTTTTGTCTTCATCATACCCTCTAATTCAATGCTATATCAGGGGCTTCATCGAAACCTGCTTTTTCTTATTATATAAAATCCTTATTGTGTTTCTAGGGTGGGGCCACCACTTTATTCAAACGTTTTATATAAACTGTATGGTGACATTTATTCATTATGTCCATCCTAATCTCAGTCTGATGCGGATCTCTACCGGCTGACTTCAGATTGTGGCACTATTTTCTGCTCTACTTTAATAGAATTATTAAGATGCCAGGTTGGCTTTCCACCTGTCTTTCCTCTTGCGATTCATTTGTCATCGAAACTTGAATACGTCATGGTTCATACTACTTTCCCTACAAAACAAGTAGTCCATAGCCCAATTGTATTAGGCAATAACTCAAGTGATATCAAGTTAACTTAAAACGGTTTTCGAAATTTGATTTTGTCTGCAAAGATTACCTAAACATGACCAATCACATTCTGCTGAGTTCTCTTGACTCACTGTTAAAGCCGGGAATAAACCGAAAGCATCCGTTCAAACAATTTTCAAGCAGGCTTTTGACCAGCCTTAGTGAGGCCAAACAAGGAAAACTTAGTGGCTCTCTTTCAATATACTAACATGAATAAAGGAAACCGAGGTGTGTTAAAGAAACATTTTTTATTTTCCTTAAAACAGTCTGCCTTTTCTGGCCTTCATAAAGCGTCTGCTGGCTGTCAGGGTTGTTCACGAGGCGGGCTCGGACTCATTCAAAATAGAATAGCCGGTTTAACTTACATTAGGCAAATATGTGGAAGCGATTATTATATCAGAGAGATATTTAGGAATAAGGTTACAAAAAATAGAAAATGCAACTTTTAGTTGTCATGGCACAAAAAGCAACAGCCATTTGTTGAGTATGCATGGCATCGACAATTGAGTATGCGATGCTGGTTCATAAAGTGTAAATAAACAAGCGGACAAGGTGGTAGGTTGGTTTTTTGATAAAAGTGGATAAAAATAAAATAAGCCAAAACATAAAAAAGAAGATAAAATGAACAAAATCGGCTGGTAAAAAAGTTGTTAACAAGACGACTAAACGCAATAGAAAATACTAAATTCCTTCATTTCATTTTCCCACATTGACAGACTAACCGTCGAGATGGAACATGAGGGTACAAAATGCCATATTGGGCCAAAAAGTAAAAACTTCCACTAAGAAATGAGACGATTGTTTAGGTTGATTTGTTCGGAAATGCATTCACAGCCGATTAATATTAACAAGGCGTTTCACGTGGTGACTCCGCGAAACTATGCCTTCCCTCGACAATGTCATCGGATCAAGGCGAACACATGTTTCGGGGAACAGCTCTTCCAGTTGCCTGGCTCAGAGCGAGTGGTAGGCATGAAAGCGGACACAGCCGTGTTTTGTTGAAAAACAGATTGGACAATTGGTCGGCCACTGACAGGGGTGGGGCCCACTACACAGCCATGATTTGCACTAGTCACTTGGGAATGCACTGGTTTCATGGTGGGAAAAAGTGATTTTATCAAAGCCAGTAAAAAGTGTAAAGAGGGTATTGCTTACAGCCTATAGTACTGATATGTATGCACCAATATCTATATAAAAAAATTAAGGCAGATATAGAAAAAGACAGCATTAAAAATGTATTTCGACAGGACGGCGGCGTTAACGCACGCCCGGTGGCCGTGCAGCCTGCTGGTCTTTTGCTCAGCAAAGAGATGGTCGCTTGGACGCCGGTTTAAAGAGACACGACTGAACGTCCGCGAAACCATTCTTCTCTGATTCTTCATGGCACAGCCTTTGATTTTGATGGGAAAAATAATAATTGCTTCGCAGCTCAGTTTTGCCATCAACACCTAAGTGTGTGTGTATGTGTATGCGCGTTTGTGTGTGTAGCCTTGGGCTATTTGGCCGTTAGGGCCGACGGTAGGCAAGGGCGCATCCTAGGACCGCTTCTGTCCACGAGGTGTGGACCAGTTTGGCGGGGTCGGCTCGTTGGAAGGGTCCAGAAAGGCGGACGAATCACGGATGCGGGGCCGACACATGCTGAAGAGTCTACAGGTCATGGTGTGTACAGATTAAATGCAAAATCATAAGAGCTATGAAGGAGATTGGGGCTGGGGGAGGTCGGTGGAAACGATACTTTCTGTAGGTGACTTTTGAGGAATGTATGTCTGGAAAAGGAATGTGGTACATTATGGAAGGCTCAGTAGCAGAATGATGAATCACATGAGTTGGATATTCTTTCGTAGAGTGGCGCCTTAGAGTGCGGATTATACAAAGCACACACGACTTTGCAGAATATCACAGGCGAGGTCCGCACTGACACAGGATCTCAGTCCGATTTTCGTGTCTGGGGCTGCTGAGTTGTCGGGCGGCGCCATTCCGTCCCTCGAAGGGAGAGAAGAGGGGGGAGGGAATGGTGAAAAGAAAGGGATCTGGAATCGGTCGAATATCTTCACACACGCTTATTCACATGTTGGCCATGGCGATGTGAGAACGGTTGTCGGGGTCAGTCGAGGGGGCCGGCTTGGTGATCAGGTCGCTCGGTGTGGTAGTCGTCGGTGCTGTGGGTGTGTTGCGATGCTTCTTCATGTGCAGTGTAAGATGGTCACTGCGGGCGAAAGCACGTTGGCAGACGCGACAAGCGAAAGGTCGGTCGCCGGTGTGTTTTCGATAGTGACGAGTGAGTTCATCAGATCGAGCGAATCGCCATGCACAACCGGCCCAGTCGCAAGGGAACGGCTTTTCGCCGGTGTGAACTCGCATGTGTGCCTTCAGATGCGAAGATTTCGAGTAGGCCTTGGCGCAACTGCCAAATGGACAAACGTGCACCAACAACAGCGACTTCTTTCCACGACTGCTCGTGTCACCAACTCCGGCGCCAGCGACGCAACCGCCTCGATTCAGACCGGGCGGTAACAGGTAGGCCGGACTCGAGCCCATCTGGTGGTCCCCGGCCGACATGTGACCACCTCGAGCAGAGCCCCTCAACCCGTTGCTAGACCCGACAAGACTGTTGCCATGCCGACCGCCACCGCGGCTCATTCGAGAGCCCGGTTGTCGACCGCGACGACGCCCTGAAGGTGGCAGCGGCGGCGGCGGTGGCGGCGGTGGGCGTGGAAACGGAGGCGCAAGCATTGCTGTCTGATCGGTCGACACTTGATGCTCCTCCAGCATGTGTCCTGAACTGTAGGCCGTGACGACCTCAGAATCTGTCGGCTGGGCAACTGGATAGACGGCTGTTGGGCCGACTAGTTGCCAAGTGTTGGGGGTGGAGGAGAGCGGGGAAATCGGGGCCGGCGATAAGGTTGGCTTGGTGGACGACAAGGCAGGATAGACAGTGACTGACGAGCCGGAAAAGAAGGAGGGTGTAGAAGAAGCCAGAGAAGAGGTGGAGGAAGAGGAAGAGGAGGAGGCGGATGACGAAGAGCAGGGGGTAGAGACGGAGGAGGAGGAAGAGGATGAAGATGAGGAGGAGGAGGAGGAGGAGGAGGAGCAAGAGGATGAAGAAGAAGAGGAGGATGAGGAAAAAGAAGATGAAGAAGAAGAAGAGGAAGTAGATGATGATGAGCTCAGAGTCCCATTGACGGACACGGCGGCCAGGTAGGACGAGGTGTGGAGGGGATGAGCATTGGTGTCCGAATGGAGGGCAGAGAGGACAGAGGGCATGTGTGTCATCGTCGTCTGTCTGGCAGGAGGAAGGAGAGTGTAGCTGGTGGTTGCTGGGTCGCTGGCACAGGGGACGAGGTCGTCAAAGTGGGCAGGAACATAGTGTTGGGAGGAATAGGCGTCCGGATCCTCGTCACCGTAGCCCTCTTCGGAAGCATAACCGTGGCGACCGAGACCAGACGGCGTCATGTAGTTGAAGAGGATCGGTGGTCTGGCAACAAAACAGTCCGACCTTGAGGAGTCATAAGCCTCGGACTGACGAGTTGGGTAGACTGAGCTATAGCCGTCGTCGTATCTGGCCGTTTCGGTGTTCACATTCACGTTGGTGTTAACATTGACGCTGGAGTTGATGTTTGTGTGACTGTGGGTCTGTGAGGAGATGCCTGGCGGGAGGAGGAAGGAAGAGGTGGAAGAGGAGGCGGCGGCGGTGGCGTTAGAGTTGGACGCGTATGCGTTGGTCATGTGGACGGACAAGTTGTAGTCGTGGGCCGAGTCGAGAGGAGATACCGCGACTGGTGTTGGCGTCGTCGAGACAGTCGGGCTTGGACGCCTGGCCAGCGTGAGGAGGTCTTTGTGCGCCGAATGGTCGACATGTGGCGTGTCAGAGATTGCAAGACTTGAACGATCCGAGCCGACGACGATTGGACCAAAGCGAAGGCTGTCTGACGTGTAGGCCATTGGCCCGACGACGTAGCCTCTGCTCAGAGCCTCAGATCCGGGGTCGCCGGTGTCTCTGAGGTCCGCGGGATTCGGGCAGACGACCGGAGCAGCCGGCCAGGCCTCATAGGCAGGCGACGAATCCAACGACAGACTGTTGGGAAAGTAGACGGGTGTGTTGGTTGTGTAGGCCAAGGCGAGCGGTCTCGAGGCGCTGTGAGAGGCGCGACCGAGTCCGGTTGCTGAGGCTGTCGCTGTCGCTATTGCCGTCGCTGTTACTGTGGCTGTTGTTGTCGCTGTTGCTGTTGTCAAGGCTGTATGAAGTGAATGAGTGGAAATATGGTTGTTGATAGGATCACTTGTCTCGAGTCGGCCAAACAAGAGGACTTTGGGTCGCTGATCGACGCCCAGTTCCAGATCGTCGGGGTTCTCGTCATCCGAGGTGGTCGTCGAGAAGGTGTAGAGACGTCCCACTGCGCCGGAAGTCTCCACGTCCGTCAGCTGACTGCACATTGGTGGTGTGTGTAGATTTCGGGTAGAATCCAACTCTTCCAGCGTAGTGTTCGTCAGTTCTCGCATCAACGCACCCGCCGACTCCTCCTCCTGCTCCTCCTCTTTTCCCTTTCCTCGCCTCGCTCTCTCTTTGCTCTCCTCACTCTCCTCACTCTCCTCACTTTCTTCCCTTTTCTCCTCCTCTTCTCTGTCCTCCTCCTCCTCCTCTTCCTCCTCCCCTTCTTCCTCTTCTTCTCGGCATTCCAACGAACACCTCATCTCACCGTTCAACTCGCACGGAGTCAGGCTCGAGTCGCGCCAGTGGCAACCAGACGCCAAAAGTAGACTATGCCCGAGAAGGCCAGAAGACCGAAGGCTTCCGGTGTAGGGCAATTTGACTCGAACCAACTCGCCACCAACCCCTCGACCAACACTACCGCCAATCGAGTTGGGGCCGCCCGAGTTGGCGATACTGTTCTCAAGAATGAAGTCCAAGTCGAGCAGACTCTCATAATCGGAGCAGTACGTACAGGCTCCGCCGGCACTCGCAGAAGCCAAAGCGTCAAGCGAGGAGAAAGTGTTGTTGTGGGTGTTGTTGAGAGTGGAGCTGACTATGCTGTAGGGGGTGTTGCTTCCGCCTGCGGTAGTCTTGTCGACTGGCGTGGGGATTGTTGGGACGAAAGTGGAGTGGAGGGTGGGAATGACTGTTGGGCCGGTCGAGAGGGCCGGTGAAACGAAGTTGCTGAGCCTGTCGACTGATGGTTCCATCCGGCCACAGAGGCTGGCTGAACTGCAATTGGAAGAGCTGGCGTCTGAGGGGGCAAGAGGCGAGATCAATTCCAGAGAGGGACAACCATAAGAGGAGGATGACGATGAAGACGAGGAGGCTGAGCTCTGCGATGAGGTAGGCAGAGGGAGAAAGGTAAAATTGAAAGAAAAAAAATTAATCACACACAATAATGACAAGTTGACAGCCAAATCACTTA